TTATAGTCAAACTGGTGGTAACTGGGTATATTTTTCCTTCGCTACTTCTCCTTCCCCACTTGCTCTGCAGCAACGCTTCTTTTACCTTTTAAGCTAAAAATCTCTGTGAAGCCCAAAAATACTGTGGAGTCTGCTCATCAAGAGGCTAAAAGATTGGGACGTGTTGAGTTTAAAACACAAAAGGGGATCAGCTTGTACGGGCTCATTGACCCAGTTTGGCTCAGACGTGCCCTAATGAACTGAATGCTGGCCCATGAGGATGTCAGCTGGACACCCAGCTGGATTCAGAGGTATTCTGTTTAACTGTGTGCTTGTGTCTGACTTTAGTTTATTGTTGCTCTGATTAACTGATTCTTGGCATATGAGGGTGTCAGCCTGTCCATGCTGATCAACCCGGCCAGGTCAGGCGTGTCATGTTAATCTGTGTCTGTTTGTGTGTATGACTGATTTGGGGACTGGAGGAACCCAGCCCACTGAAATTGAGTCCTGCAAGATGCTCCATTGGGGGGTGAGGGCTTGTAGAAGGGAGAGATACAGCTCCATATATAAACACAAGTAACACAAGCAGCACATGAATAGAATTACCAAGACCCTAGAAACGTATCCTTAATAAATAAGCACACCACAGAGTAATGGGCAAATCTGTACAGGATCGCTGCTGACAAATAAGCCTGGCCTTTTTGTTCCAGATCCACATGTACTAAAGCCTAGCATTTAGACAGCATAGATGGCTTAGGGTGAGCCTAATCACCTGCTCCAATACCACTCTTAAGGTCTTTGTCTCAGTGGTGTAGAAGTACATACTTGGAACTCCTCTAAGCACTATACATGGCTTAATTGCCAAGCTGGGGTTTCAGTAGAAACCCATTGAGTGGTGGTCTCCAGCACAATGGGGAAGCAGTATAGGTATGGTATTAATATATTGTATGTAGACAAAGCAGAGGCAATGACTGGCTTAAGATACTGATACCATGGATATACAGTGGTGGGAAAGGCATACTGCTTTCTTGCATGTTCCTGGAAACAAGATGATGAAGGAAGTGGGCAACATTACCACAGGCCATAACAACTATCTAAGTTGCAATGTAAGAAATGCAATTGAATGGAAACTGCAGGGCAAAGTTTATACTTAGTAGTAATAAATGAAAATGCAAAAACCCTGTTTTATGCACCATGAAAAATGATGTGTGATCTAGGTTTTTTTTCACTTTATTTTTTGTCTTTGACAGCTTTTTTGTATCATCTCATCAGTTTTGATTTCTGGATAGTGTTTAGTTATATTATTTGTTTCATCAGCTTGAGAATGCTCCTTTCTTTTTTTATTGATTTTTACAATACAAAACCCAGAAATATACAAAACCTCAGAATCAGATTGCTAAAACGTTGATTAAAGATAAGAGGGCAGAAACTGATCTCTCAGGCTGTGACAGAAGTATTAATGTATTGTCTTCATACAACAGGATCTTGTTTCACTATCTCTTACCTTAATATCTTGTATATTACCTTATCACTGTAGCCAATTATTTCAATGCTAAATCAAATAGAAAGGGGGAGGGTAATGGGGAACCTTGTTGAATCCCTCTTTGCAAAGGAGATGGATCAAATAAAATATTGACAACTCTTTGAGTGGTATTTGTATATAACTGGATCTACCTTATGACTTCTTTACCAAAGGCCATCTTTTTTTACTACAAAATCTACTTTCAAGAAATACTCTCAAAAGGCCTTTTCTGCATCATGTTTTAGAAGAGCATTAGGGACTTCGGTATTTTGTTGTGCAGCTACTACATCAGTGTACATTATCTAAACTTTTTTCAATAAACCCTACTTGATTTTTGTGAATTAACTTTGGGACAACCTGTTTCAATTTGTGAAATAAAGTTTGGGGTAGGATTCTGTTAGGTTCATACAGGCATTACATTTAGATCAACCTAACCAGGATTAGGTCAATCTAAATGCCCAATCAGGCATGCACAAATGTAAATCGCCCAAAAAAATGGTACACCCAATCTAAGTTATTTTACCTGAGGAGGTTCACTAACTCAGATCGAGATTGGGTTAACCCAATCTAGGAAAGCATTAATCTGATCTCCCAAGCACCCATGCACATTCAGAGCATAGCCCCAGGGCTGGGAAAGCCCAGCCACTTGCCCGAGCCCCAGAACTGTGTCATTTCCCCACCCAACCCTAACTGATCTACTTTTAGCCCTCCCTGCCCCAGACAGACAACTCCCCCATGGATGCACCAGCCCCCTCCCCACCCTGCCAACCCTTCTTGTGGACCCACCAGACCCTCTGATCCCACCCAGAGTTACTTACATCATATATTATATTGAATACTATATAGTCACTTGGCTTTCATTTATATTTATTTTTCTGATTAGCTGCATGCACAGGCCATCTGTGTGTAAATGATTAGTTAACAAGTGAATGGAATGAGATTTCTGGAACAATTCTGATATATATTGTATCTAGGTATGTGTAATTGGAAAACACAGTAAAAATAATTTTAAAGTTTGTCTCTGAACATCAGAAATGTTGTGTCAGTTGTTTAAGTTAATTTAGAATTTCTTTATTGCCTCTCAGTGTCTAGATAAAATGATGACTTTAGAGATATAACCAAATTGTTTTCTTCTGTAAGAGGAGTTGAAAAACACAAACATGTAAAAATGTAATAGTTATTTTCATGCCAAGCCTTGAATAATTCCTGGAGAGCAATGCTGAGATCTAATAGATCGCTCACAGAGTAATTATAGCTGAAACATCAGCTTTTCCTGCAGCGTCAGAGACAGAGCAAAAGGATGACAGCCAAATAAATATCTGGGCTTGATACTTCAAAGGACTGAGGATCTCTTGAAAGTTGCTGGACACATTGTGGTCACACAGCATCTTGTTGGTGCTAAAACTCTCCTTGCTTATTCTGTAATTTGGGAATAAGTCAAATCTCTCTTGAAAATCCTAAGTAATTAGGCATTACATTTGATAGATTTATAAGACTATGTAGAAAATTTATAAATAGGGAATCCTCTACTGCAAGCTGTATTAGTTACCTCTAAATCAGGGCACCCCTGACCTCACCCCTAATATCAAGCTTGTACCTGATATATCAGTGCAGATTGCAAAAACCACTGCTATGCCTCTCCTAATTTTTCAACAAATCTACAAACTCTTATCTTGAAAGCATTTCCACTTCTGAGTTTTGCCAGTATCCATTCTTGATGATCTGTTCTAAATCTCTGTTGTTTCTCTCAGTAGGCTTCCCTTGTCTTAACTAAAGGCTCTTCTCAGAAAGGCCAGCAAACAATAAATGCAGATCTTATGGGGCATTTTGGAGACACAGTGAGCCAGTAAGTTGTTTCTTTGAGTAAATTCAAAAATACTCAGTTTCTAAATACTAGGCATGAAATCCTGGCCATCTTTAAGAAAGAGAATAAGGAGGATCCAGATAACTACAGACCAGTCAGCCTCACCACAGTCCCTGGAAAAATCATGGAGCAAGTCCTCAAGGAATCCCTAGGAGAAGAAAGTGATTAGGAACAGTCAGCATAGATTACCCAAGGGCAAGTCATGCCTGACCAACCTGATTGCCCTCTGTGATGAAATGACAAGCTCTGTGGATGTGGGGAGAGAAGATGGCATGATATAGCTTGACTTTAGCAAGGCTTCTGATATTGTTTGCCACAACATTTTCACCAGCAAGTTAAGGAAGTACGAGTTAGGTGAATGGACTGTAAGGTGGATAGAAAACTGGCTGGATCATCATGCTCAGAGGGTAGTAGTCAATGGCTCAATGTATAGTTGCAAGCCAGTATCAAGTGGAGTGGCCCAAGAGTCAGTCCTGGGGCTGGTTTTGTTCAATATTTTCATCAATGACCTGGAAGATAGGATAAAGTGGACCCTCAGCAAGTTTACAGATGACACCAAGCCGGGGGGAGTAGTATATACACAGGATGACAGGGGTAGGATTCAGAGATACCTGAACAAATTGGAGGACTGGACCAAAAGAAATCTCATGTGGTTCAATAATGACAACTCCAAAGTCTTCCTCTTAGGATGGAACAACCCATGCACTGCTATAGGCTGGGGACCAACTGGCTAAGAAGTAGCTAGGCAGAAAAGGCCCTGGGTGTTACAGTGGAATATAAGCCAACAGTGTGCTTTTATTACGAAGAAGGCTAATGGCATACTGAGCTGCATTAGAAGAAGCATTGCCAGCAGATCAAGGAAAGTGATTCTTCCCCTCTGTTCAGCACTGGTAAGGCCACATTTGAGCACTGTGTCCAGTTTTGTGCCCCCCACTACAGAAATGATGTGGACAAATTGTAAAGAGTCTAACAGAGGGCAACAAAAAAGTTTTTGAGGGCTGGGGCACATGACTTAAAGGCTGAGGCAACTGGGCTTATTTAGTCTGAGGAAGAGAAGAGTGAGGGGGGATTTAATAGCAGCCTTCGACTACCTGAAGGGTGGTTCTAAAGAGAATGAAGCTAGACTGTTCTCAGTGGTGGCAGATGACAGAACAAGGAGCAATGGTCTCAAGTTTCAGCTAGGGAAGTTTAGGTTAGATATTAGGAAAAAAACTCTCACTAGGAACGTAGTAAAACACTGGATCAGGTTACCACGAGAAGTTGTGGAGTCTCCATCTTTGAAGGCTTTTAAAACTCAGCTAGATAAAGACTTCTGAGATCATCTAGTTGGGGATTGTCCTACTTTGAGTAGAGGGCTGAACTAAATGATCTCCTGAGGTCCCTTCCAACCCTTAATTTTCTATGATTCTATGATTCTGTTATAAGTCCACTGGAACTTTGAACACTGATTTCAATAGAGCTAATTTCATTTCATACCTTTAATGCATTAATATGCTCCTCATTTTTCTCCCCACCCTTTTTTCACCTGTGAGTTGAAATTAAATATGTGACATTTAAATAACATTCTTTCCTTTGGGGAGGAAGAGAGGGGAGAAGATTGGACTTAGAAGTTTTGCTCTAACTTACTATGGTAAATGCTGCTCCATAATGGACATGTCTACACATGCAATTAGCACACAGCAATAAACTCTGGTGCATTTCACTCTGGAGTTTATTGCTCATGGACATCACATTTATACATGTGCCTGAGACCATAGCATGTTGACCTGAGTCACAGCAGCCCTGGCTGGCAGGGGTCCTGGGGGGTCAGCCTGCTAGCCCAGGCAATGCGGTGGATTAACAAACTATGCAACAGAATAGTACTTTTATTTTCAAGTACTACCCTGATGCAGAGTTAATTAGTTTCCTGTGGCCTAATAGGGCCACATGTGTAGATGTGAGACATTTACTATGGAACTAATTAGTCTACTCTGCAATGAACGTCTCATGAAGATGTGCCCAATAGTACCTATGATCAGATTGGTTACTGTCATAGAATAATAGAGAAGAAGTAGGGCTGGAAGAGAGGTCATCTACTCCAAAGCCATGCCAGAGCCAGTATGATTCCTATCCAAACCATCCTACACAAATCCATTGTCTAGCAAAATTACAAAGCTCTTCGTTAAAATTTAAAAAATTGTCATCTGCTTCACCCTCACTACTTGCTCCCACTGTTACTTGGATCAATGTCTCTGCTTGCTTATGCTTGTTCCCTCTCCAGAAGCCAGCTGGCTGCCCTGTTGACTTCTGCAAATGCACAGAAAATGCCAGCAAGAATTAAGCAACTCTGGGACTTGGAGTTCTTAAGAGACCATATCTCCTAGGAAGGCACACTACTCTCTGTCTCTCAAACAAGAAGTCCTAGAGTTTCAATAAAGAAATATCATTCCAGGCAAGTCCCAGAGAGTGGCTGTGTCAGGAAAAACTCTGGGAAAGCTGGATATCATTTTCTTTTAACTTTTAACTTACACTTTAAAAAAAGTTAAAGTTAACCTTTTTTTAAACTAGGTAAAGTTAAAAGTTGATAGCTGAAAAAATGTAACTAGGTAAAGTTAAAAGTTAGCTATTTCTTTAACTTTTTAACTAGTTAATTAACTAGTAAATTCCCATGACTGTATCCCATCTATCTTCAATCCTCCTTCCCTGAACATCTGCCCAAGGGATGGATGAGCTTTGGCAGGCTTTCTGAGACATCCTGATTCCATGCTTCAGGCAAATAGCACACCTCCTGGGATCCCAAATCTGAACAAGAAATTAGTGTCTCTGTCCCATGTCGAACAGAGTCACCAACCACCACCTCTCTTTTCTTCTTTCTTGGTGCAATGGTCCTTATGTACTGTCAGACTGAAGATGAAAATATGATAATGATGAAAATAATGGTGGATTTTTTTAATATAATTTTGTACCAGCTTTATCTGCTTCAGCCTATTGAGCATCAAATATTTGTACTGGGAAGGAAAGCCTAGCTCATACAACTTTTGCTAGAAGACAAAATCTCATATAGTCTACAACAAAAGCGTTCCAACCTCCCATAACTGGATTCATGTGAGTAACGCATTGGCTTCCATAGGGAGTAAGTGACTACCCCTGTGACTGAAGTGCCTCATACACATATTTTTAGGATTCCACCCTGTGACAGGTGTGTCCCTTCGGGGTCTGTCCACTGGTGACCCTGCCCATTTGTTATGGGCCAACCGCCCACCTTCTTGTCTGCCATGCCTTGTTCTTAATTGCTTAATTAGAAAATATTAATTAAGTGGGAGGCTGCCCATTTGACTGCCCCGATGCAAGGGAGTGCTATCTGTGGCTCCTTTTCTCCCCTACACCGCAGCCCAAGCCTCGCAGATGGTACTTGCATCGATTAGTCTGGGGCTTACTATACTCTGGCCCCCTTGTCCTCCCTGGGCTTTCTGTGGCCCTGCTTCACTAGGTGCCTCACTGAGTGTTCATCAATGCTGCCCCCCCCTCTCTGGGGGCTTCTCACTGCCCCCCCTCTCTGGGGCTGAGGTCTTCACACAGTCGTGGCTCCCCTATGAGGCCTCCTCCAACCCCTGATAGCCTCACCCAAACCTCCAGTTCTAAACAACAAAGACAAGCCCCTAGGCTATAACATAAAATCTAAGCTGTCCAGCTAAACATCATTCCATCCCTACTAGGGAATTCTCCACCACACAACAGCAATCAGGAGCTGCTTGTGCAATCAGGCTTCTCCCCTCTGTTTGCTCTGGCAGAACTCCATCTCCCTTGGCTGCTAGCAGGAAACTGCCAGCCTGGCCCCAGCCCTGGGGTTTAAATGTGAACCAGGCCCTGCCCCTTCTGGTCAGCTGACCACTGGCAGGTGTGGGTCACCAGCTAACTTTGGTAGCCCTGGCAACCAGCAGCTGGGGCTCCTCAGTCACTGCTAGGGCTCCTAGCAGTTTCCCCTCTCTAAAGGGGTAGGGCGCCTAAGTGCTCTGCGACACACCCAAACATAAAAATAAACAATATTCTCAGTATAAATCCTGCAGCCTTTCCTGACATCTGAGCAATACTTAATTTCTCACAGTATGTGAAATTCTGCTTTATCAGCTATCACCCTGCTTCATGCAACTGAAGTGCCAGGGTTGCCACTTCTGTCCCTTTTGCTAAAAATCAATCGTAAGTGGAGTGTCAGTAGGACAAAATAAAATGTCAACTGGGGAGCACTGGCAGGGCAAACTAGGACTATTGCTAAATGTGCAAATGTCCTAGTGTTAATGTTAGCAATGTAATAAGGCTAAGAGACAAGCTACATAGCTGATGGAGTGCTGTGAGAAATGAAGAGATAATGTGTTGGGCATAAGTAGTACTGTCCTGTAACAAATGAGCTCTCACACTTTCCACTAATGCTTAGAGAAAAAACTGGGGCAAGAATTTGTTCATATTTTGATATTTAAAACAATCACTCAGTAAGTGGCCTAGTAATAGGCAAACCTCAGAGATTTTGGTCTTGGGATAATGTATTGGAAGCAATGATTTATAATCCACCCGGATTTTGGTTAAATTCAGATTAGAAATTCTCAGATGAGTCCTCTTCCAACTGTAGATGCTTTTGCCTGGGCTCACATATAAATTAGTGTGAGTTAAATGAGGGCAGGGCTTCTCAGCATTTTAGCTACTCAACTGAAAATCAGCCCATATTAAAAGCAAGCTACCCCACAATACCTTATACCTTCCTCATTTAGGTGTAAACCATTATTGATTAGTTTTAATTTATCACAGTTTTGAGCATACACATGGGAAGTAAGCAGAATATCTGACAGATTTTATCCTAAAGTAGATTGTCCAAATACCCACATCCATACTCTGAATTCCCTAAACCTCTTTGACTTGGTACTAATCTGGATAGATTTGTATACATTTCCTGATATCTTCTCTGCTATTTTTACGTTTGTACATCTGTTGCACTAAAATGTGGAAGCAGAGAGACCTGCAAACATTAAATGCTGAGAAGACAGGAAATGTGGTCTAGCAGTGAGTTCATAAGAAGCAGGAAGTATGAGACTCAGGATCTTTTTGTGGCTCTGCTATAAAGTGGTTTTGTGACCTTTAGCAAATGAATATCCTCTCTCTCAGTCTCCCTGTCAGCAAAACAGAGATAACAAGACTTAAATGCCTGATACAGGTTGGTGCTATGGAATTGTAAAGCATAATTTATTTACTGAAAACCAAAAAATTATTCTTCAATATAATTTCAAGAGCAGATAAGTTTTAAGTTGAAGTTTAGTCTTTCAAAGAACTTCTAATTCTCCAGTTTGGTTCCCATATCCCTTTAAGAGTATAATTAAAATTTTTGTTTTGTTCTATGCTGATGGCAGAGTACGCAGATGATCAGCAAGGTTCAAACCTTTTAAATAGAATTACTAATGCTGTTTATGTTGTGGTAATGTTGCAGCCTTATTGGAATTGCAACCAAGGAGGAGGGTGGGGGAGGCAAACAAAGTGAGAAAAGGTTTAAAATGATCTTTTGTGCAATAAGCAAATGCCTCTTTATCTTACTCTACATCTCAGGGTTCACTGAACTACCTAAGGTGAATCATTTATTCCATAAATTTTGGATTTTTTTGATCCAAAAGATTATTCCTGGATAATATCTTTCAGGTCTACAGGCGATTGAATAACATCTGACAAACACTTTATTAAATTATTGTTTGCACAAATGTCAAATTATCCATGATCCCATTTTTTATGACTTAACCAGCTCTGGTTATAAACCATCTATAAAAGTAATCCAACCAAATAAAATAAAACAAAGGAAACCCCTTCACTAAAATACTTAAATACAAACATAATCTCTTAAAGTACTGATGTATTATGGAAATTGTCTCTATATAAAAGAACATTCGTGTTCATTGTCTTTTAATATGCTACTCAGTGGGTGCATCTACATGAGATGCTTAATGTTGCATTAGCATAGTCTACTGCAAGTAGCAAATTTATTCAGCACTAGTGCTTATGTTGACATCTGATAGGGAGCAAAGTCTGTTCCTGTCAGCCATCCACTGGGGGCAGGAGGTAGCTGCTTGCCTCTGGGAGCTGCCTGCTGCTGGGGTGGTCTCCAAGCCGCCTGCTCCAAGATCCTGATTGGAGAGGGTCGGTCTGAGAGATCCTTATCTCCCAGCCCCCACTGAGTAATTACAATCAGGGAGCAGGAGGTTGGGAGACCCTTATCTCCCAGCAGTGGCTTCACGACCATAGGGCCACTGCTGGGAGATGCTAATTTTCCAGCCTGAGCACCATGGTTGTGTGCTTGGGCTGGGAGACCCATATTATAAATTTGCAGGTACAACTTCTCTTCAATCTGCAGAGGCAAAAATACATGCATTAAGCATGTCACTTTGCAGCTGGATCTCCATTTTGCAACTGGATCAATACGCCCGTGCAGAATTCTTTGGTGCAACTTTGTATTCAAATAGGGATCAGCACTGCCAAAAATTTAACTGAAAAATAGATGTGGTAACTTACAATGATAATGAAGGAACCAAAAAAAATCCTGTGCCTTCTCCAATAGCTGTTGTGGCTCTCCAGTGATAAGAGCTGTAAAAATCTGTCAGAAAAATAAGAAGTGAAAACACTGTAAACATAGGACACTAATTTATTGAGTAAAAAGGTGTCATTGTATTGGTTACTCCTGTGACTATAATTCCTCTCTACAATAGATGAAGCTGTTGTTTAAAAAAGTCCAGAGTTTTATAGTTGAAAGAGCAGTGTTTATGATTCAGAACTATCAGAATTAATGTTTGTCTGTTTGTACCTGTATGAAATGTACGCAGCAGTTGATTAATATCTTCTAATACGGGTTTTGAAAGAATGGTAATAGCAACTGTTCACATGTAAAAAATGTTGTTGAAGAACCCTATCATTCAGTGCATCTCTCCTTTCAGAGATCTGACCCCTATTTCCATATTTTGAAATAATACTTC